GCAACAGAACTGAATGTGGATATATTGTGAGAGCGGGTTGCACGTTGCAACAGAAATAATGGAAATGATAATTGGTTATGACTGCTGAGTTGCCTTCAATTATTATAAATGAATTACCTGATTTATTCCTATTATTGTTATTGTTACTAATATTGCGTACAGGTTAATGTAAGTGAACCGCCTTAGCCTTGTCACTACTTCGTCGAGGTTAGGCTCAGCACTTGCCAGTACATGGGGTCGGTTATACTGATACTACACTCTGCACTTCTTGTGCAGATTTTGGAGTTGGTCCCAGCGGCGTACCATAGACTTGCTCGGATTTCAGCTATCAAAGGAGACTTGAGGTATAACTGCATGGCATCCGCAGTTCTGAAGTCCCCGACTATTGTACTTTAGCTGTGTGTTTCTTTCCAGACAGCTTTATATTATTCAGACCTTTATTTGTATTTATTCTAGAAGCTCGTGCACTTGTGACACCAATTCTGGGATGGTATTTAGACACCGTTGTTTGATGGATTATTTCACTATATTTCAAACTTTGCTTCTGCATTTGTTTCCTTGTTATTAATAAATTTAAAATTGTTTTTAAAATGGATAATATTATTCTAACGTTGGCTTGCCTAGCAAGTGAAATGTTAGGCGCCATCATGGTCCGAAGGTGAGAATTTTGGGTCGTGACAAAAATAGAGTTCATATTGGACAAAATAGTCATTTGATCATTTCTTAATATTTAGGAATAATTATTTCATTAATTTCCAACTATTTAAGGATAGTCACTTAACTATTCACATATAACGACCCGATCGGTTGTTTCGCTTCCTAGAACCCCATTCCCTTAAATAAGACTCTTTATATGTGCTTTTACTATTTTATGACTTGCGGGGATGGTTAGTTCAGATTTGAAAGGGTTCGGGTTGAAATCGGAATATTTAGTTCCTTAATATTGGCTAAAAAGGGGTAAGTTTGACTTTGGTCGACATTTATTGTAAACGACCTCGGAACCAGAATTTGACGGTCCCAATAGGTTCGTATGATAATTTTGGACTTGGGCATATGTTCGGATCGAGTTTTGGATGATCCGGGAGTGTTTCACCGCTTAATATTGAAGATTTGTACACTGAAGGTTTTTCAAGTTCTTTAAATTTGGTTTGGAGTAGGTTTTGATGTTATCGAGATCCGTTTGGGATTTTGAGCCCCGGAATAGTTCTGTATGGTGATTTAATACTTGCACGCAAAATTTGATGCCATTCCGAATAGTTTAAGCATGATTCGGCGCGTTCGGAGTAAGTTGGAAGAACTTGAAGTTCATAAGTTGATTCTATTTGGTTTTGGGTTGTGATTCTTAGTTTTGATATTATTTTCGCTGATCCGGGGGTGCGAGTGAGTCCGTTTTATGTTCACGAACTCATTGGTATGTTTGGTCGAGGCCTCGGGGCCCCCATATAGGATTCGGAGGGTCGACGGAGCTTGATTGCTCTTTGGAGAAGAACTGATGGTGGCTGGCATCTGGTGCGTTCGCACCTACGGTAGGAATGGACGCAAAAGTGGCACCGCAGGTGTGGCATCCCGCTCGCAGAAGCAAAAAGGGGAGGGGGTCATCTTGTGGGGACTATGCACGCACGAGATGACGAGAGTCCGTGCGTAGCTACTAATTCTGCTCAAGTCCGAGTAGTTTTAGAACCCAAACCATGAAATACTTGTATTGTTTGCACTCTACTTGTTAATTTAAGTGCCTAAATTATATTGAAACTTGATAAAGGATTCGTAATGGCCAAATTTTACTTACTTCAAGTTATGTCGGGTTACTTGACCGTTAACAAAAATTGTGCTTCCTTGTGTATTAGGTTGGTAATATCTTTTAAATCGGATGTTCATAGATTATTCTCTCTTTTTGTGGAGTGGACAGAACGCCTCGGCAGTATAATAGAGGCATCTATGGTTCGTGTCACTCGACCCTCGATAATGTACAAATTATTTTGGATCGGGTCGTACGACCTCGGCATAAATCGTGCGTGTTAGTGCTTGGAGCCCGAACACATTTGATATTATTTTCATGAATTGAGAGGTTATAATTATTTGATTGATTGAGATTTACTTGAAATTAGTATGTGTTAGTGGAAGACTTTTGGAATGTACTATTAGTTAAAGAACCATTTAATCACTGTTGCTATTGTGTTGATATTATTATCCAAATTTTATACGCTTATTTAGCATTTCTGTATTTCATTGTTAGCCCATAGTAAGTGTCGATGTCGATCCCTCGTCACTACTTTTTCGAGGTTAGATTGGATACTTACTGGGTACATATTATTTATGTACTCACGCTACACTTTTGCACTAATTGTGCAGGATCTAAGGCAGGTACATCTGGCATTCATTCCGGCGCGCACCCCCGATACCCCGAGGCTTAGTGGTGAGCTGCTTTTTGAGTCCGCCCTGCAGCACCAAGAGTCTCTCTTTTGTATTTTATTTTCTGTCTACTCTATTTCAGATAGTAGCTTAGTGTTTTGTATATTTTACTAGTTGCTCATACACTTGTGACACCAGGTCTTGGAACACATGCTAGTAGACTTTATGGTTTTTGAGCATTTATCTCACTCCATTTGCTCTTACATTGGTTTTCGCCTTATTTTATTAAATTTTCTACTCCTTATTTTCTTAATAAATGAAATTCAACTACTTTGGAATTATTAAAAGGAACAATTACATGGTTAGATCACCGTTGGCTTGCCTAGCGACGACGTTGGGCGCCATCACGGCCTATAGGAGAAATTGAGTCGTGACATCACACTATAAAAGTTTTGTTAACTTTGAACTCGATTTATATTTAGGAGTATTAAATTCCTCCTTTTAGGTTTAGGAGAGTTTTCTATAATTAATAAAAATTTGCCAATCCGAAAAAAGAAAGAAAATAAAAAAGTACAACCTTCAAAAAAAGAAAATAAAAGAGTGCAGGAAAAAAATAAAATTGTAAATAAAAGCTACACCGGCTTCAGAATGATAATTATGGTAACTTTATATATAACTGGCAACTTTATATATGACTTTCGTGTCTAATTTATACTAATTATTTTCCTTCACATAATTAGTAAGAGTATGTGAAGCCAATATTGTACATAAGTTGTTGCTTTTCTTAATGTATCTTTCTTGATGGTTTGAAGTTCTTTAGTTCAATTTTTCTAACGTAAATTTTCTTTTGTGGTGCATTAGACAATTCTCTTTATGTTTCTTTTCTTAATGGTTGAAAGTTCTTTAGTTTAAATATCCTAAGGTTTTATTCTTCTTCTTCTTTGTGGTGCATTAGTTCATTAAAAATTAGATACATATTTATTGATCATTTTACCCTTAAAAAATCGATTCAGTAATATTTCTTTCCCGAATAAGTTGCATTGAGCTTCTTCTTCTAGCATCACGTTCTTACTTCTTTTATCTCCTTTTTGTAGGTTTGCCTAAGACCGTCGAACTTAGGCCTCCGGTCGGGGACGAGGACTTGCCCACTGATTCTTCTGCTTCGGGGCAGCCTGGAGCCACAGCCGGAGAGAAGAAAAGGAAGAGGGCCCCAAAATCCCCGAGCTCAGAGAAAAAGAAACCAATGAGAAGGTTGGTTCGTAAGACAAAGGAAAGCTTCAGCTCCCAAGAGCCTGACTCGGACTCACTCTTCCGACTTAGGGACGAGTCCGAGGACGAAATTTTTGTTCCCCACGAGTCGTCTGTCCCTAAGGAGCAGGTGGAAGCCGAGGGGGAAATGACAAAGGTCAATCCCCCTCAAGTGCACGAGGTTGGCGTAGGGACGAGGGTCGAGACTCCTCGAGATGCCGGCTCTGCCCCACTCAGTGTCATAAAGATTTCAAGTTTGCCTTCGTTCGCGGAGTCTATGTTTGACGAAGCCCGAGCGATGAAGGAGCGATCCAACGAAGGGGTTCATCGAGCGGACGATCCCCTTCGATGCTTCTTTGATGGTGTGGACTCAACCACCCTGGAAGACTTCACTAGGTTGGGCGATTTAGAGGTGCCGAGGAAAAGTCCATTCTCGGATGTTGGTGGGTCGAACTTGAGCCCGAGATTGATCAATCGGTTCCCCGCCCCGAGCGCAGATCCTGGTCAGAGGCGATCTATTGTTATCACCGTTCCGTAGGATGCCCGAGTTCTTTCCGCCCCTGTAGGGATAATTAGTTACCCCCGGTACCTGGTAACCGAAAAGACCAGGCAAAAATGAAAGAGGTGGATGCTCCATGCTTGTTCAAGGAAACACAATAGGCGTTGAACCGGGTAAGGTGTTATCACACTCTTTTATCTTCGGGTTCAGTTTTTGATGGCTCTAATGCCTTTTCCTCTCCTTGTTTTGCAGGCCTCGGTGCTTCACCATGAAACCTTTCTGCGGTGTCGGGATGAGCTTAGCCAACTCGAGGTCGAAGTCAAAAAGCTTGCTAAAAGAGGGACATGTATAAGTTTCTCAGCGAGCAATGCGAAGGAGAAGTCAAGAACCTTCGAGTCGAGTTGGACGTGGCTCAGAAAGAACATGCCAACCTGGTGGAACCGGTAAAGATCTTTGAAGTTAGTGATGACGAGTTAGACATGGTGACTAATAGTCAGAACCCGCAGGTCCAGCAGAAGGTTGATCGGGTCGACCAGCTCCGAGCCAAGATGGACGAGGTCAAGACTATTGCCGAAGAGTGTAAGGGCAAAATGGACCGATTGACTTCGGAAAAGGAGACTGCCCGGGAGCAGCTGGCATTAGTAGAGGCCCAAGTTCGAGAGGCAAAGGAGAAAGCTGAGGCCCGATCCCAAAATATCGAAGACCTCCAGTCTCAACTGGGCTCGGCCATTGCCGAACGGGATACCCTTGCCAAGGAGCTTAAAGCAGCCAAGTCAGAGGCAGAAATAAGAAGGGCCGATGCCGAAGAGATGGTGGCCCAGTACAAAGTTGACGTTGAGGCAGCCTAGGATCGCCTGAAAGTTATTGCCGAATATGTGAAGTGGCAGTCCCGAATGGAGGCTCTCGAGAAAGTTCATGCCCGGGGTTTTGACTTAATGGCCGTGATCGAAAACGTTAAGAGATTCGAGGCCGAGGCCAAAAGGTTGGCATATCTCGAGGACGAGGAAGGCTTTGACAAATCCGAGGGCGGAGAAGACCTTGATGGTCCCGGTGATGAGGCGGCTACGACAAAGATCATGCTTAGGCACCTTGTAGATTTTTATATATTTTTGTATTTTTGTATGTTTGGCCTTTGTAAATATCTTTATATATATACAAGGCTTTTCTTTTTTTCCTTTGGCAATTTTCAATTTTGTTTATTTTGTCTTTTTCTTTACGCTTGCAAAGATTTTAAATGCCTTACCACGTAGTAATAAGATCTTGTTTGGAGATCTGAACAAGGCTTGTTCTCGATGTGATTTTGTTTATAACTCGTGGGGGCTTGGTATGACTGGAATCTTTCCCCAAAGTGCTTATTTAGAAGTTTTTATATTATAATTTTGCGAAGGGTAGCCTTTGGACCGGTTTGGAAATTTCAAAGGCCTTATGTTTTGGTTTCGAGTTTCGGACGTCTCCGAGCCATTTCTAGGATGGTCGTAGCCTTTTAAGTTCGCATATTCCCAATAGGCTTATTACCCCGGGCATCGATTCCCGAGCCATCCGAGCTTTCCCAGGACGATAGTCCCTAAATGGGGGTGGCCGTAACCTTTAAAGTTCGGGCACTGCCTAATAGGTTTTTGTACCCCCAGGCTTCGACAACCCGAGCAGTCTGAGTTTGCCTTGGACGACAGTCCCCGAGTGGGGTGATCTCTTGGATCCGGATAAAGGTGTCCCTTGGGCCCGATGTTCTTGAGGAGCAAAATGTGGTAGTTCTTAAGAGACAAAATATGTATCTGTAAAGTGGAGACTTTCTTTCATTACTGCGCGCAACATACAAGATGAAAAATATGTACAAGCTTCATGTTATGGCTTAGGTGGTCTATGTGGGCATGGTTCATTTGACCATTTGGCCCTTACAATAAATCATATCCACAAAGCTCAGACTATTCGAGTTCAAAGTTCCCTTTCTTGCTAAAATCATTATCAAGGATGATGGCCCCCAGTATTCGAGGTCGATCATAGAGAGGGCTCGGATACTATTGATATGACCCTTGACTCAGGTTCGACTCAGGTTCATAGCCTGTCTTTAATTTTAAGTTAGCACGATCTATAGTTGCCTCGTTAAAAACTTTGCCGGAAAACTCATTTGGTACAAAATCGGTTCAAGGGAAAAAGAGTGCAACGCGTGCTTTTAAGCCTAATAACTACATCATTCTTTGGCCGTTTCCTGCAATTGTTAGTTCAATTTGTAATATAGGTAAAGAAAAGAATAAATGGGGTCGTACCTTAGCAGTAGCACCATTTTAAGTGGGTCACGTTCCAGTTGTTCAGTAGTCGCTCACTGTTCCCTGCTTCGAGTTTGTATGATCCTTTGCCGGTGATCTGGATAATTCGATATGGACCTTCCCAATTCGGTCACAGGTTGCCTTCGTTCGGGTTCCGGGTGTTTAGTGTCACTCTTCTTAACACCAAGTCCCTAATATTGAAGTGTCAAAGGTTGGCTCTCTGGTTGTAATAACTCTCGATCCGTTGTTTTTGAGCAGCCAGCTGGATGAGGGCAGCCTCGCGCCTCTCGTCCAACAATTCCAAGCTTGTGTTTATGGACTCGTCGTTTGACTCTTCGGTTGCGTATCGGAACTGGAAACTCGATTCTCCTACCTCGACCGGTATTATCACTTCGGCACCGTAGACCAACGAGAACGGGGTGGCCCCGGTACTAGATTTTTAGGTCGTTCAATATGCCCACAGGACTTCGGGCAAAATTTCCTTCCATTTTCCTTTGGCGTCGGTCAACCTCTTCTTAAGATTTTGGAGTATAGTTTTGTTCGTGGACTCCTCCTTCCCGTTCCCACTAGGGTGATAGGGTGTTGATAGGATTTTTTTGATCTTATGGTCCTTGAAAAATTACTCATCTTATTGCCGATGAATTGCATCCCATTGTCGCACACGATCTCGGTCGGCATTCCGAACTGGCATATTATGTGGTCCTAAATGAAGTCAATAACTTCTTTCTCCCTGACTTTCTCAAATGCCTGGGCTTCCACCCATTTAGAAAAATACTCAGTCGTAAATAATATGAATTGAGCCTTAGCGGGTGCCCATGGAAGAGGGCCAACGATGTCCATTCCCCATTTCATGAATGGCCAGGGTGACAAGACCGAATGTAGCAGCTCCCCTGGTTGATGAATCATCGGTGCATGTCTCTGACATCCGTCGCATTTTCGTACGAACTCATATGCATCTTTTTCCATGTCGATCCAGTAGTATCCAGCTCTGATTATCTTACGAACCAACGATACAACACCCGAATGATTCTCGCAGGTGCCTTCGTGAACTTCCCTCAAAACATACTTGGTATCTCCCGGTCCCAGACATATGGCGAGTGGGTCATCAAACGTTCTCCTGAATAGGCTGTTGTCTTCGGACAAGCTGAACCTGGACGCCTTCGCGCGTAGAGCCCTTGATTCTTTAGGGTCTGAGGGCAGTTTTCAAGTCTTCAGGTAATCTATATACTTGTTTCTCCAGTCCCAGGTTAAGCATGTCGAGTTTATCTCGACATGGCCTTCCTCTGCTACCGATTTCATGAGTTGTACGACCGTTCCCGGGTTGAATTCATCGTCATCAACCGACGATCCTAAGTTGGAAAAAGCATCGGCTTCACTATTTTGATCTCGAGGTACATGTTGCAAAGTCCATTCCTTGAACCGATGTAATGTCACATGTAGTTTATCCAGGTACCTTCGCATTCGCTCCTCTTTGACTTCGAACGTTCTATTGACTTGGTTCACTACAAGGAGGGAATTGTACTTAGCTTTAATCACCATGGCCCCCAGGCTTTAAGCCAGTTAGAGACATGAAATCATGACCTCATACTCGGCCTCGTTGTTAGTCAATTTTACAGTTCTAATAGATTGCCTACCTATATTACCCGTCGGTGGCTTCAACACAATGCCAAGTCCATACCCCTTTGCATTCGAGGCACTGTGCGTAGAAAGGGTCCAAATTCTAGAGGAGGTCCCCGAGTTTAACAACAACTCCTTCTCGACCCGAGGTATTAGGGCTGGTGTGAAGTTGGCCACGAAGTCCGCCAAAATTTGAGATTTGATGGCAGTTCAGGGTCGATATTCGATATTGTATCCGCTGATTTGCACGGCCCATTTGGCCAATCGTCCCGACAGTTCGGGCTTATGAATTATATTCCTCAATGGGTAAGTAGTCATGACACATATGGGATGGCATTGAAAATACGGTTTTAACTTCCTAGAGGCGCTTAGCAAAGTGAGCGCTAATTTTTCTAGGTGAGGATACCTAGTTTTGGCCTCGCCTAGAGTACTGCTAACACAGTAGATAGGAAATTGCGTACCTTCTTCTTCCCGGACTAGGACTCCACTTATCGTTATCTTGGATACCCCTAAGTATAGGTACAACTATTGATCTACCTTCGGAGTATGAAGAAGAGGTGGCTTGAAAGGTACCGCTTGAGTTCTTCCAAGGCTTATTGACACTCTGGGGTCCATAAGAAATTATTCTTCTTCTTCAATAACGAGAAGAACCAATGGCTCTTATTGGAAAACCTTGAAATAAATCGGCCCAAAGTGGCTATGCGCCCGGTTAAACTTTGAACAACCTTGACACCACTGTAATGTCCTCTATGCACTTGATTTTATCGGGGTTGGCCTCGATTCCCCGGTTAGACACCATAAATCCAAGAAATTTCCCGGATACGACTCTGAATGTGCATTTCTCTGGGTTCAGCTTTATGTTATATTTCTTCAATATGTTGAAGGTATCCTGCAAATGTTTCAAATGGTCCTCTGTTCGCATGGACTTAACTAACATATCGTCAATGTAAACCTCCATTGATTTTTCTATTTGTTCTTTGAACATCCGATTTACTAGGCGTTGGTAAGTGGCACAAGCATTTTTTAGTCCGAATGGCATCACATTATAACAGTAGGTGTCGTACTTAGTGATGAAGGAAGTTTTTTCCTTGTCGTCCTGGTCCATCCAAATTTGGTTGTACCGGGAGTAGGCATCGAGAAAACTGAGGATCTCATGGCCAGTCGTCGCATCGATCATGCGATCGATGTTTGGCAAAGGGAAAGAATCTTTAGGGAATGCTTTATTCAAGTCTTTGTAATCTACACACATTCTTAATTTATTCCCCTTTTAGGGACTACCACTACGTTTGCTGACTAATCCGGGTACTTAACCTCCCGAATTGACCCTATTTTAAGGAGTTTAGATACCTAGTCTTTGATGAATGTGTGCTTGACTTCGGACTGAGGCCTCCTTTTCTGTTTGATCGTGTGGAACTTTGGATCGAGGCTCATCTTGTGTGTAGTTATTTCCGGCGAGATCCCTGTCATGTCGAGGTAGGACCAAGCGAAACAATCTATGTTAGCTATAAGGAATTTAATGAGTTTTTTCCTAAGCTCGGGATTTAATCCCGTGCCCAGGTATACCATACAATCGGGCAGGTGCTCGATCAATATGACTTGCTCCAGTTCTTTGACTGTTGATTTGGTGGCGTCGTCGGAGACTATGAAAGATCTGGGAACTCTGTAGTCATCGTCCTCATCCGTCCTCTGCTTCTCCGGTTCAGTCGGGGTCGGTGATTGCTATTTGGTTCCTTTCTTGGCTACCGAACTCGGATCCGTTGGTGTAGAAAGTGCGGATATCGGGACCACCTCGTCAACCACAAACATCTCTTTTGCGGCCGGTTATTCACCGTACATTGTTTTAATCCTTCCTGCCATTGTAAATTTCAACACTTGGTGCAGTGTCGAGGACACCCCCTCATGTTGTGAATCCACGGCCTCCCGAACAGAGTGTTGTATCTCATATCCCCTTCGATCACGTAGAACTT